TCGATGTTTTCAGTTTTGAAATTATGAAACGCGTCCAGAATAAATTTCCTTGATTGGCTTACCATTACAAATCAACAGGAGATTAGCGGAAATGTGTAACTTTTTAAACGAAAAAACTGCTAACACATAGCATAATATTTTATGAGTAACATTTTTACTTAGTGCAAAGAGTAAAGAGATAGCTTTAAATTAACGGGAAAGTTAATTATTAAGTTACGGCTACCATGAGTACGTATTAATAGAAAAAGTGGATACGATCTCGTACTTTGGATTACGAAACACGTCGAAAACGGACTTTGCTGGTTGGCCTATCACAAGTTATTAGTTAATAATAACGAACCTTACCGAAACTGCCACCAACGTTTCTTTATCTTTTCATTAGCAGGAATTTTTGCCTGTTAAACCGAGAGTTATAGATTTTCGCCGGCCAGACAGAGGGGGAGGGTGCCTCACCAGTTTGACAAATCAGAAGGGATTTTCGCCGGTTAGACGGAGAGGGAGGGAATTTCGCCGGTCAGACACAGGGGTAGGGATTTTCGCCAGTTAGACAGAGGGATAGGGTTTTCGCCGGTCAGACACAAGGGTAGGGGTTTCCTTCGGTTAGACAAAAGGATAGGGATTTTCGCCGGATAGACGGAGAGGGAGAATTTCGCTGGTCAGACACAGGGGTAGGGATTTTCGCCGGATAGACGGAGAGGGAGGGATTTTCACCGGTTAGACAGAGGAGTAGGGTTTTCCGCCGGTCAGACACAAGGATAGGGGATTTTTGTCGGATAGACGGAGAGGGAGGGAATTTCGCCGGTCAGACAGAGGGAGGGATTTTCACCGGTTAGACAGAGGACTAGGGTTTTCCGCCTGTCAGACACAGGGGTAGGGATTTTCGCCGGATAGACGGAGAGGGAGGGATTTTCGGCGGTCAGACACAGGGGCAAGGATTTGCGCCGGTTAGACAGAGGAGTAGGGGTTTCCGCCGGTCAAACACAAGGGTAGGGTTTTCGCCGGTTAGACAGAGAAGTAGTAGTTCATCATATTCCAATAAATTTTGCTAATCATTAATTCCATAATCAATATTAATAATTTATATTATAATAATAAATCAGTAATCAATACTCAATCCTCCATTTTCCCGACCGAGGCCGGAGGCCGAGGTTGGGCTTGTTATATATACAAAGCTACTTCGCCGTTTTTTTTATCCAACATCTCCTCCTACACTGTCCCACGCTGATTTTTGCACGATAGCTTAAAAAACGCTTTAAATCATGTAGTTTGTCTCAACGCCTTTCGTTTTTCGATCTTTTCGTTGTCCGAATTACGAAAGAGGAACAAACCGAATTTCGCTGATTGGCTGATCATTAAAAATTACCATACGATTGGCGGAGATGCGGAAGTTATCGAACCATAACCGCTGACTAATAACACACAAGTAGTACAATACTTTATGTGCCATATGTACCAGTATGCGCATAATACCGCGCGGCTGAATTGTAAAATATTTTGGAAATGTAAAATATGCGGAAAGGCGTAATTTAACAGGAACTTCTGGTACAACTTCGAAGCAAAATTTTTTACAACGCTTAAAACAATCATGTAGTTTGTAACAAAGGGTTCGTTTTTCAATTTTTCCTCTCCGCGTTACGATACGGGTTCCAAACGAATTTTTGATTTCATTGGCGGAAAAAAGAAAAGGATAACTGAAACGGGCAAGGTACATACAAAAACTAACATAAGTAAGTATTATTAAAGAGAAGGAAATTTGATAAGCACAATAAATGTCCCTGTGATTCGCAATTTCCCGACTGGAAGATATATTTTCCGATGGTGTTCTTGCCGGTGAGACGGAGGGGAAGGGATTTTCGCCGGTCAGGTAGAAGTACAGGCATTTTCGCCGGTCAGATAGAATTACAGAGATTTTCGCCGGTCAGATAGAAGTACAGGGATTTTCGGCGGTCAGATAAAAGTACAGATATTTTCGCCGGTCAGATAGAAGTACAGAGATTTTCGCCGGCCAGATCTAAGTACAGGGATTTTCGCCGGTCTGATAGAAGTACAGGGATTTTCGCCGGTCAGATAGAAGTACAGGGATTTTCGCCGGTCAGATAGAAATACAGAGATTTTCGCCGGTCACATAGAAGTACAGAGATTTTCGCCGGTCAGATAGAAGTACAGGGATTTTCGCCGGTCTGATGAAAGTACAGGGATTTTCGCCGGTCTGATGAAAGTACAGCGATTTTCGCCGGTCAGATAGAAGTATGTACAGGGATTTTCGCCGGTCACATAGAAGTACAGGGATTTTCGCCTGTTAGAACACAGGGGCATGGATTTTTGCCGGTTAGACAGAGAGGATGGGATTTCCGACGGTTAGACGGAGGTGTAAGGATTTTCGCCGATCTTACAAAAAATGGAATTTTTTGTCAGACAGATGATGAGGTGCTTGGCTGTTATGTTATTATTAAAATTTTTTGCTAATATGTTATTTGGCTCAACCTTCTTTGCAGACGACGGTTTTATCGTTGGCACTTCCATAAATAGAGGTATATGTATACACCTTCCGTTATAATTAACGGAACCTTTATAATTCAAAACAAACTGCTTTTGCGACCAGTTAAATTCCGTTTTCAACCAGCTAAATCTTCATAAAACTACCACATTTCTTTTTTCAGTTCTAAAAATTCTCAACCGAGGCCGGAGGCCGAGGTTGAGCTTGGTGAGGCCGAGGCCGAGGGAGGCCGAGGCCGAGGCCGAGGCCGTTGGAGAGGCCGAGGTTGGTGAGGTTATATATACAAAGCTACTTCGCCGTTTTTTTTATCCAACATCTCCTCCTACACTGTCCGACGCTGATTTTCGCACGATAGCTTAAAAAACGCCTAAAATCATGTAGTTTGTCTCAACGACTTTTGTTTTTCGATCTTCTCAAAATCAGATTTACGAAAAGCGTTCAAAACGAATTTCGCTGATTGGCTTATCTTTAGAAATCAAAAAGAGGATTGGCGGAAAAGCGAAATTTTGGACTAACGTCACGCAGTGCAACAACGCAGTGTAATATGGGACAGGAGCTCTCATTTTGATAAACACAGAGATGCGGAAAGCCGTAGCTTACAAATGTTAGTATTCAGTACACAAATAACAGTGTAACAAGTAATCATTGTTTCAGACGGGAATTTTGCCATTCTGGTAATTTTGTAAAATAAAGCCAATTCGGCAAAAGAAAATTTTTGCATGCGGACAAAGCTGCATTAACTCATTTTTTTGGGGGGAAATTTCTGCATTTAGGAGGAATTTAATAATAATGAAACGATTTAAAAACGATTTCTTCCGATTTAATTTAATTAAATTAATTTAATTTAATGTAGTTTGTCTCAACGACTTTTGTTATTCAATGATTTCTTCCGATTTAATTTAATTTAATTAATTCAATTTAATGTAGTTTGTCTCAACGACTTTTGTTTTGCAATCTTTTCGACCTCCGATTTACGAAACGCGTTCGAAACGAATTTCGCTGATTGGTTTACCTTTTATAAATTAAAAGCAGATTGGCGGAAAAGCGAAAATTTCAAACAAAAGCCGATGACTAACTACAAATCTAATTTCGCCGTTTTCTTCTCTTCCTCTCCCTCCTACACCGTTTGGTGCTGATTTTCGCACGATAGCATAAAAAACTCCTAAAATCATGTAGTTTGTTCCTATGACTGCGATTTTTCGATTTTATCGTCCTTCAAATTACGAAATATGTTCAAAACGAAGCAATTAATTGAGGATTGCGGAAAAACGGAACTTTGCGGACTAACAACATACGGTGCATGAGCACTGTATTTAATTAATTTTAACGCCAACAGCACGACATAGTATTTATAAAACCGTGCTTCGAAATTAATATTGCGGAAGTACGAAAAATGCGAAAAACACAGACACAGAGTAGGGTTTTCGCCGGTCAGACAAAGGGATAGGGATTTTCGCGGGATAGACAGAGGGGTATGGGTTTCCGCCGGTCAGACACAAGGATAGGGATTTTTGCCGGATAGACAAAAAGGTAGAAATTTTCGCTGGTCAGACACAAGGGTAGGGATTTTCGCCGAATAAATGGAGAGGTAAGAAATTCCGCCGGTTAGACAGAGGGGTAGGGATTTTCGCCGGTCAGACACAGAGTAGGGTTTCCGCCGGTCAGACACAAGGGTAAGGGTTTTCGGCGGATAGACGGAGAGGTATAAAATTCCGTCGGTTAGACAGAGGGGTAGGGGTTTTCGCCGGTCAGACACAGTAGGGTTTTCGCCGGTCTGACAAAAGGGTAGGGATTTTCGCCGGATAGACAAAAAGGTAGAAATTTTCGCTGGTCAGACACAAGGGTAGGGATTTTCGCCGGATAAACGGAGAGGTAAAAAATTCCGCCGGTTAGACAGAGGGGTGTGGATTTTTGCCGGTCAGACACAGAGCAGGGTTTCCGCCAGTCAGACACAAGGATAAGGATTTTTGCCGGATAGACGGAGAGGTAGAAAATTCCGTCGGTTAGACAGAGGGGTAGAGATTTTCGCCGGTCAGACACAAGATTAGGGAATTTCGCCAGTTAGACAGAGGGGTAGTGGTTTTCGCCGGCCATACACGAGGGTAGGGATTTTCGCCGGTCAGACAAAGGGAAATGTGATTTTCGTCGGTTAGACCATTGCCGCTCTACATTAGTGCAGTCAGCACTAATGTAGAGCGGCAATGGTTAGACAGAGGGGCAGTAGCTCATCATATTCCAATAAATTTTGCTAACATTAATTCCCTAATCATTATTAAAAATAATAATAATAAAACAGAAATCAATATTCAATCCTACATTGGGCTTGTATATGCAAATATATATTAATAAAATAAAATAATATATATATTTCCGGGAAATTAATATTTATTTCCCGGCTCGCATTCCTTCCCTGTTTGGCTTTTTCGTGCCACGGTTGCAGCGTATTCTGGATGATTAAATGGACTGCTGTTTGGATGGGGATTTTGATTGTGGTGTGTTGCAGTGTGGAGGAGCTGCATCTGAGTCTGAACGAGTACGCGCCCTTCGCGAAAGCGGACAGTGAGAACGCAGCGCCTTCCAGTTGCCGGCATCCCGGCCTGAAGGAGCTGCACATCGACAGCAACCAGCTGGCCTCCTGGCGCGAGTTACTCCGCATCGGGCGCAACTTCCCCGGCCTGCAGACGCTCTTCGCCAGCCACAACCTTCTCAATGACCTCTAGTTATTCATTGAAAACAGACCGGAAGTCGTTAAATTAATAACAGAAAATTAAAGAAATAGAGTGTTATAATAATATGTAGTAATAATTATTATTACCTACATAGGATATGGAGGGAGAGGCGTTGCGGGACAGCCTCCCCGCGGTGAGCAAACTGCACCTCAGCCACACGGAATTATCCTCCTGGCCGGCGCTGGACCAGTTGCAGCACCTCCCCTCCTTGACGGACCTCCGTCTGTTGAACACGCCCCTCTGGACGGACTCCCCGCTGACCGGAAGTAGCCCGCCCTCTTCCCCCTCCAAATCCGCGCCCTTCTCCCCCACTTTGACCACCCGCCAGCACGTCCTGGCCCGTCTCCCCGCCTTATCCTCCCTCAACGGGACCCCCGTCGACGCGATGGAGCGGATGGACGCCGAGCGCGCCTTTCTGCGCCATTTCCACGGCGCCGACGTCCCGCCGCCCTGTCCGCGCTTCACCGAACTCCTGGGCCGCTACGGGCCGCTGGCGCCCCTCCTGGACGTGCAGTTGGGGGCGCCGGAGTACGTGGAGGTCGGGCTCAGCTACGGCAGTGTCCAGCGGCGGCCCTTCAAGGTGAAAACAGCAATAAAAGTTCGATAATTAATTTAAGTGGAATAAAAATGGTAATAATTCATTTAATTGAAATAAAAATCGTATTAATTCATTTAAATGAAATAAGAATGGTAATAATTCATTTAACTGAAGTAAAATGTGAATAAATAGGTGAACGTGAAGCAGACGGTGGGGCAGTTGCGGCAGGAGCTGCAGAAGGGGGCGGGGATGCGCTGCCGGGTGTTCTACCTGGACGCGGTGCTGGCCGGCGTCGTCGGGATGGAGGAGATGCGCGGCGAGCGCCGGGCCGTGCACTCCTTCAACGTCCGCGACGGCAGCCCAAGTGAATCCGCGATAATCACGACGTCGCTGCCGTGGATAATCACGGGATTTTGGCCTTTTGTGTTGTGCGCGGAATTAACCGGTTGATCGGTGGAAATTTTGCGCTAATTTGTTTTGTTTTTCCCCCGCTGTTTGATTGATAAATCGACAAGTGTTTTGTTGTAGATAAATCAGAATCAAATCATGTTTCTTGACCTTATCATCCGCTGTGCTTCCGTTTTCGCTTGACAGAAAGTAGTCGAAATAAAAAAAACATTTCTCTCATATTTATTTGCATGTTCTCGGTTAAGTCAGGAAAAATAGACAGCAAATAATGAACCAAAACAATACAGTACTACCAAAAAACAGCAATAATTAATACTAGCAAAGAGCGGAAAATAATACTTACTAAAAATAAAGTCATCAAAAACAAATTAAAACAGATCCGCCAATGTGCAACGAGAAAGTAATCAAATATATACTTCAGCATTGCAGAAACTCTACAGTTATTATTATAGCTGTCGGCAATAAATGATTTCAGTTGTGAGTGAGTGGTAACTCAGTCCGCACAAAGGAAAAAGCTATTGAAATAAATGTTTGTTTATGTATTTTCATAGTGCCGATAATAATATTACCGATGATGATTTCAAATGATAATCCTTATTCGTTCAGTCCTGGCCAGTAGATATGGGAATTTTGCTATATTAAATCTTGCACAACAACTGCTAGCCGTAACTACAGATACCGATCCTCATTTATCAAAAAAAAAAATTTGTCCCTGAAAGCCCAACGTTGGCCACAATACAAAACACTGCTGTTCACAAAAAAGAGATCCCCGTTAGCCGTACAAAGAAAAAGTCGTCCAAAAATACCGCACAACACCATACAGAAGCGTTCGCGCAGTACAACCCAATTTAGCGGTTACACGCAAACAACATCTCCAAAAAAAGCGTACCGATTACCGAAACATTTGATTCAAAGACTGTAAAGAAATTACTCGCTCAAGGCGGAAAAGTGTACGATTATAAAACGCGATCAAATGAGCCGGCGAATGATAAAGACGAAAAGAGTACCATCCGCTGGGTCAGCGTCACTCAGCGCTCACTTGCTGCCATGCGGCTCTTGCTCGCGGTCCTCAACAGAGCCCCCGCCGCCGGTGGACGAGGCCCCGCCCTTCTCCAGCTTGGCGGCCAACTCCAGCAGGCCCTCCTGGACGTCGGACGCCTCGATGGAGGACGCGAGCGCCAGGGAGGAGATGTCCGCCAACGAGACGAAGAGGACGCCCACGCGCGCCGCGAACGCACGGACGGGGGCAGCCTGCGACGGCCCAGCGTCCGACAGCGCCGTCCCAGCCTCATCCCGCACCGCCACCAGCGTACGACGACACGCCTCCATCGCATGCTGCGCCTGGTCCACGCCGGTAGCGCTGGCGCTGGCGCCGGTGGCCCGCTCCTGGCCGGACTCGTCCACTTCTTCCCGGCGCTTCTCGTCGCTCCCTTTCTCACCGGCCGGTTGCTGCAGGACGTCGCCGGCGGCATGCTCCAGGGTGTCGGCCGCTTCCTCGGGCTCGTGCCGGGCGTCGGGCTTCAGCGCTTCCTTCTTCTCGTCGGCCGCCTGCACATGCTCGTCCGGCGTCTCCTGGCCCGTGCCCTTGGCGTCCTCGTCGCTGGCTACGCACGGAAACCGAACAATTACAATTCCGCCTAAACTGCAGTCATGATTACATGGCGCTGCGCTAATGCGAGTAATTATTCGCAGTTAATTAACGAGTAATTATTTCGCAGTTAATTAACGCGTAATTATTGCAATTGATTAACGAGTAATTATTTCGCAAATAATTAACGAGTAATTATTTCCCAATTTATTAACGAGTAATGATTTCCCAATTAATTAACGAGTAATTATTTCCCAGTTAATTAACGAGTATTTATTTCGCAGTTGATTAACGAGTAATTATTGCAATTCATTAACGAGTAATTATTTCCCAATTTATTAACGAGTAATGATTTCCCAATTAATTAACGAGTAATTATTTCCCAGTTAATTAACGAGTATTTATTTCGCAGTTGATTAACGAGTAATTATTGCAATTCATTAACGAGTAATTATTTCCCAATTTATTAACGAGTAATGATTTCCCAATTAATTAACGAGTAATTATTTCCCAGTTAATTAACGAGTATTTATTTCGCAATTGATTAACGAGTAATTATTGCAATTTATTAACGAGTAATTATTTCCAATTTATTAACGACTAATGAGTTCGCAATTAATTAACGAGTAATTATTTCGCTATGAATTAACGAGTAATTATTTGGCAGCTTATTAACGAGTAATTATTTCGCAGTAATTTAACGAGTAATTATTTCCCAATTTATTAACGAATAATTATTTCGCAATTGATTAACGAGTAATTATTTCCCAACTTATTAACGAGTAATTATTTCGCAAGTTATTAACGAGTAATTTTTCGCAATAAATTAACGAGTAATTATTTCGCAGTTAATTAACGAGTAATTATTTCGCAATTAATTAACGAGTAATTATTTCGCAGATTATCAACGAGTAATTATTTCGCAGTAATTTAACGAGTAATTATTCGCAGTTAATTAACGCGTAATTATTTCGCAATTAATTAACGCGTAATTATTGCAATTGATTAACGAGTAATTATTTCGCTATGAATTAACGAGTAATTATTTGGCAGCTTATTAACGAGTAATTATTTCGCAGTAATTTAACGAGTAATTATTTCCCAATTTATTAACGAATAATTATTTCGCAATTGATTAACGAGTAATTATTTCCCAACTTATTAACGAGTAATTATTTCGCAAGTTATTAACGAGTAATTTTTCGCAATAAATTAACGAGTAATTATTTCGCAGTTAATTAACGAGTAATTATTTCGCAATTAATTAACGAGTAATTATTTCGCAGATTATCAACGAGTAATTATTTCGCAGTAATTTAACGAGTAATTATTCGCAGTTAATTAACGCGTAATTATTTCGCAATTAATTAACGCGTAATTATTGCAATTGATTAACGAGTAATTATTTCGCAAATAATTAACGAGTAATTATTCCGCTATTAATTAACGAGTAATTATTTGGCAGCTTATTAACGAGTAATTATTTCGCAGTAATTTAACGAGTAATTATTTCGCAGTTAATTAACGAGTAATTATTTCGCAATTAATTAACGCGGATTTATTGCAATTTATTAACGACTAATGAGTTCGCAATTCATTCATGAGTAATTATTTCGCAGATTATTAACGAGTAATTATTTCGCAATTAACGAGTAATTACGGTATTTCGCAGTTTATTAACGACCTAACAATTTATGTATTAACGAATTTTTTCACAGTTAATTTACCAGCGGCGGAAATCGGTCGGTCGTTACAACTTACAAGCCAAGTGCATACTAACTAATCTCGTTAAAGCTGGCTTTAAACAACAAAGTCAAAAGGTGCAAATCTTGAAAATCAATCAGCTCATGGATATTCAACGGCAACGATCACTTTGCAGTTTATGAATATACTGTACACGGACTTTAGAAAAGAAATGCAAATTCACGACAATATTACGAATATTACGTAAACAAAATGGAAAAAAAATATCACGTAAACAAAATGCAACGGCTAACCTGTTACAGTCCTGACAGCCAAACGCGAAATTAAGGAAAATAAATGAGAAAACTAATCTGCTTAGTGCTTACCAACAACCTTCTGCCCGCTCACGCTGGCCAACTGCGCCGATTCCACTTCAGCCTGCTCGTGGGAACGGCGGCCATGCTGCCCGGCGTCCGGCCCCTTATCCTGCCGCTGCGAGACCTCGGCGGCGGCGGCGCGGTCCTGGAGGGGCTCGTCGATGGCCCGCGCGGCCTGGCCGCCGTCGCGGCGCTTCTTGTCGCCTTCGTCACTGCTCGCCTTCCGTTTCCGACCACTCTGCTGCACGACACCGCCGGCGGCGTGCTTCACGCTGTCGGCCGCCGCGTTGGCCTCGCGCCGGGAGTCGGACCTGCGCTCTCCGGCTTCGCCGGGGCCGCCAGCACGGGCTCATCCGGCGCCATGCGGTGGGGCTGCTTGGCGTCCTTCTTGCTCACGTCGCTTCCTACGCACACAACCAAGCAGTTACAATTCCGCGTAAACTGCAGCCATGATTACACTGAGCTGCGCTAATACGTGATGATGTAACTAAATTTACTAATTGTCTAATTAATTTACCAATGCAAATAATTAAAAAATAATTTCGTCAAAGTCAACTTGTCGGGAGTAATCAATTGAACAATTAAAATTAATACCAATTTACGCAAATTACTAGTGTAACATTAATGGTCACAATAAAGACAATATTCAACCTTAATAACACGTTTTGATACTGATAAATCGCAATATTAACCGCAATGATTTATTTAAATAAAATGCAATCCATTTCTTCGCAGACTTGCATACCGTCCAGTTTCGGTTGCCACGGGCGAAACTTGAAGAGCACACCTGCAGAGGTAGTCGCTCCCGACGCGTGCGGCGCCCTCCACCCGCTCCGCTTTGGCCGCTGGTGCTCGGGCCCTCGCCGCCTGCCTTCGGGAGATCATCGGTCACATCCCAGGTCAAACCGGACAAGGGAAGGTTCCTAAATGGAAGATTTCACTGGTTACACAACTGCTGCCTGTCTGCGGACAGACGAAATATTCTCCAAAATTTTCCTGATGGAATTCCCCACGTAAATCGTTAAATGGCATGAAAACCAACTGCTCGACATGCTTCGACCTTGGCGTGCTCTCAAGCACTGACATTATCGGCCACACGAATAAACTGTTGATTCATACGCAGTACGATTGCATTCAACAAAATCAGGGACTTACCTGACCACGTTAAGGCACACTTCCCGCTGTCCGCTGGTACCCTTTATAGCAATGATGTCGTCCACTTTGCTCGCCCACCTTCCCGAACAACCGCATCACGCCGGCCCCGCTGAAGGCGCTGGTGTTACTCGCTTTCGGCAGCGTCTCGTCCATCTCCAGGAACTCCCGCAAGTCGGGGTCCATGCGCAGCACCGGGTGCTGCGCCGTGCGCGCCAGGAAGCGCTCCAGCGCCGCGCGACGCCGCTCCACAAATTCCCCTGGAAAAAATCATCAAATTAATTTTGAAAATAATTCTTAACACGAAAACAAAATTATTAAATCAAATAAATTCCATTTGACTAAATCAAATAAATGCTATAAAATCATTTGCAATAAATAAAAATCTTTTCACCGGAAGCGCCATCCTGCGCGGTGGTGTCGCCCTTGGACATTTTGACCTTGGCCATCCCGGCCACGCTCTTCTCGGGCGCCGGCGGCACGAAGCGGCCGACGTGCACGTGCTTCTCCTGCAGCTTCTCGTGCAGGCCCAGGAAGTCGCTGAAGCGGCGCACCACCGAGAACTTGCGGCGCCGGAAGACGGCCAGGTTCGTCTCCGTGCTGACTTTGTACTGCACGTACGCGTTCAACCCCTCGTTCACCTTCTGCGGCTCGCTCACCGTCACCGTCACGACATTGTCGTCCTCCTCCTTCGCTTTCTCCTCCGTAATCTGATCAAATAACATTTATTTCCGATTTTCAGAATTAATTATTTTTTGATTTCATAGGAAATTCCCAATGAAAACGGGGAAATAAACAGGAAAAATTAAAAATTATCGTTATTTTTACCGCATGCATTTACGTGACGAAAATAAAAAAATTACTTTAAACATGATTCACAGCGTTCACAGCATTCGCCAGGAAAACTGATCAAACAATTATTTCTGTCGTAAATAAGCATGAACCTGTTTTATGCAGTACGCGCTGCCTGAATATTGCAAACGAAAGCAACCGATAATATGCAGACGAATAAACCATAAAATTCACATTGTACAACTCACTACGCGTTTGGGCGCTGCGAAGGGCTCGTCGCGGTCGCGCGCGGTGGAAGAACTGGAGTCGGAGACTAGTTGATTTTGGAGATGGTGGTCGACGTCAGCGACGTCTGCGAGGCGTCGTCGCGGTCCTTTTCCTCGCGATTCTGGCTCTCGCGGCCCAGATCGATCTTCCGGAAGTCCGGCGGCGTCAAGTCGCAGCCGCAGCCGTAGGGATTATTCCGGCCCGCAGCGAATTCATCGCTCGGAGTGCTTTCCTGCAGAGAAACACGCCAGGAAATCAACCACGATCTGCTTTAATCGTCCCAGTAGTGTCAACATTAACGCAAGCTGACAAATCCATGTCCTGCACTTTGCACTCTACCTTGACCACAACAGGGAAGTGCGCAGGTGAATCAAGTTGAAAATACTCAAATTACTCCACATCTTGTTCTCACTGCATTCTTGCCAGACAGCAGTTAACCGACTTCATCTGTGCCTACTATACTAAGAAAACACTGGGAAAAATAAAAACGAACCTCTAGAGCAGACTGGAACATGTCTTCATCCGGTTCAGGTTTGTTAAAGTCGATATCCGTAAATGCAGGTGGTCCTTCGCGTCCGTCCGACATTTTAATGCTGTGCCAGTCAACCCCCGAATCGACTCTTCACCTCCTTTAAATGCCTCACAAGATACCTAATCTCGGTTCTTATTTTTACAACTGCAAGAAAAAAAATCCCGAAACCCAGAATAAATACACACGCTAATGCACTAGCAGGAAGCAAATTAAAAAATCACAGAGCGAAAAATATTTGGACCTGCCCGTTGGCCGTTTATTACGTAGGCACGGGCCGCAGTGCGGCAGAACAGGCAGCCGCCATCCATGAGCGGCGGCAGGTTGCGTACTGATATTGCTCCAATGGAATCCCCAATCGAGCCCAGTGGAATTGGCCACTGGTTAGTGGTTGCATGTATGCAGATTGCAGAGCTGATGGTGAGCACGAGTCCCGACCACGCGCTTGGCGAGTACAATAAGTAATTATCGAAGTTTTCGACTGCGGTTAGTGTATGTAGTTAACTTCTGCCAACGTTAATTGTCAGCGTTTGACGGAAAATACGTTTTTATGATCTATCTATATAATTATACACCAGGCAGGTAAAATCATCTACTATACCTACAGGCTACAGCTCATTTTTACCATGGACAAAAGTCCAAGTTGCAGTTGCTGTGTCGCGAGTGCGGTAAGTTATTGGCTTGCTGTGGGAATTTTTTCAAGTGGAGATTTCTCTTGGTTTTCAGTTTTTCTTTATCAGTCTTACAGTTATGATAAAAGTACTGAATTAATTATTTCTCGTAACTCGTAAATCCCCGCCAGCGCAGCAGTTATGTTGATCTTTCCGAGAGCTATGGTTTCTGTTTTCATTGCCGCTTTAAAAATATGTTGGTTTCACTGTCGAGGGTTTTAGAAATCTTTTTGTCTATCCTGACGAGTGGCGAATATTTTGAAATGCAGCCGGCAGCCGTAGAAATGCAGCTGTAAAATGGATGCGCAGCCTTCGATAACTATTGACCGCACATCAGGTGTAAAAAATTAAAAATAGACTTATGGAGAAACAAGATCTGATACAAAGATTATAATCTTTAAATGCCTCAAAAAGAAAAATCTGCTCAGTAAGGTAGTAAGGAGACTTTCCTAGGCCTTAAGAAATTTCGGAAAGCAAAGAATAAATTCTCCAAAGATACAGGATGCACTAAAACCATTTTTTTACTTCTCAAAAAAAATCTTTCAAATATTTTAATTACTATGGCATGCTACAATTGAAAAAGCCGATTCCACTGGTAACTAACTGTAGCTGTGTACAGCTAGGTACTGTAGTTGCTCTTTCGAAATCACGTTTGAACCACAGAATTCCCGCTACCGAATTTCTCGAGAACCATACTGTATGTGCGGACTCGGGTGCTGGATTATAATTGTATTAACTTGAAAATTGTATTAATTTAAAATAATTTAGTACCGGCTGCAATAACTGCTGAGTAGACACGTTTGTTCAAGCCGTCCCGAAAACAGCGCTTGCAAAACTGGCGAGCGGCGATTTAGAGACGGATTGTTCACTAAAAGAACCTTTTTTGCGTGCGATCGCATTCAAAATCTTCAAAAGCAGCCGACCTTTCATTACTGTCGAATTACGGTCAAACCTGCTACTGACTTGAACATTCAAGTCCAGCTTTTCAAAACGTAATGAGTAATACCCTATTAATTAATTAAATGAAAGGCAAAGATGTGTACTTTGCCTTTCATTTAGCGGAACGGAAATGAAAGTTATGGTTTTTGTTAACTAATATTCTTGTACTACATTGTCCAATACGAACCTCAATAAAGTAGTAGACAATGATTAATTATATAAATTTGTTGATCTTCAGTTGAAAAATTTTTTTTAAAAGAACTTACCTCTCTTACTGTTTCAAAATGCTCAAGGGTTTGAACTTTGAAGTTAAACATGGCTAAATTGTGTATAAAATTGTCCGAATCAGTACCGTCAGAAAATTATGAGAATCAGTAGAATCAGTATCAGTATAAAACTGTCAGAATCAGTAATCTGGATAAAAGTTGCCTCTTCAAATGAAGTATCGTGTGAAAACGGCGAGAGTGGCCGCAATTCAAATAAGTAATTGCTTCTGACGAAATTGGTCCGGAGCGCCGTGGTAAAGGGATTGTTCGGGTTGGGAACACAGACCACAATAACGCGGAGGCGACGCCGAAGCTGACCATAAGTATTACCGACTACAGAGTGATTTTGTTGGGCAGTTCCACTGGTAAAGGAACCAGCTCCTGTTGCACTATGCCGATAGCTAGCGGCACATGTTCAGTACAGGTACCTATACTAGGTCCGATCCAAACCGGTTACGAACCATTATATTACGACACCGTCCCTGATATGCAGTATCGCTCCACGTTTATTTATCTTGTATTGCATATGACATGCCATCCAGTTCTACAAATTATAGATGCTTGCAAAATATTAATTTTTATCGTCATTTTGCGCACGCATCCTTCCTTTAATAAAGCTATTAATTCATGTACAAGCAAGGAATGTCGGTGCGGCAGTGCAGTTTTTGTTGTCGGTACGTTGAGCGACATGGTTGAGAATGAAGGTTAATATTAATTTGCTTTTAAATTAGCTGGGCGGGAATAATATCATGGATTTTTGTTCTCGTTACTTGTGTTTTACAGATTGTATCTGTACATGCAATTATTTTTTTAAAAGAAGTCGTAATATGAAATTTTGTAGGATAGAATTAGACAGCTAGTGTCAAATTTATTGTGCATCTCAGTTTCTTTGGAGTCTTAGTCAATCGTCTCATGGAGAGTAATCCCGCGACTGTCACATGCGTTAAGCAGTAAAACAAATTAATTAAGGAAGCAAAAAAGGTCGTGAAATGATGTACTGTTCGTAGTGGTACTAACGTTCCATGAGTAACGTACGCCTTTTTCATTTACTTATCTGGATAGTACACGCCTGTTTCTTCCTTTTTGAGCTACCTAATAATTGGTTGTTGTAAACTCCGTTTAATGACGTTGGCGCTGTATTGTGTTTTGCCAATGGTTACATGTAAAAACGGAGAAGTCAGAAGTGGTCGTCTGTTTTTTTACAGAGAAAATCAGTCTTGACTAGAATTTTGTGTGAATGGCAACTGCAGTTAAGAACTTCCGTTATGAGCGCTCTCGTGTCTTCTCGTAGCGAAAACATTAGTGTGTGTACCTACCGGAAGTCATTTTTATCTGGATAACTAAATCATCCAGATTGTATTCGTGCACGTAGTTGGATTACTGGCAAAGTGGTTTGCTATTAGTCTGTGTATTAGGCATAAGAAATAGTCTGTGTATTAGGCATAAGAAATAGTTCATCTTCTTATTTTCCCACTTTATCTACCGGGTCTGGATGGTCATCTAGTACGGTAGATGTATGTAGTGCATCTTCCGTATAGCATGTCAGTACTGTATTGTGCCATATAGCACTTGGAGTCTCGATCTGCGGGCTGTTTGAAGAGCATAGTCAGTCAGAATCTGTCTTCCGTGTCACCGTCCAGTGCCCACTGCGGGCATCATGGATCACGGTAAAGATGCACTTGCACTTCTACGGGAAAGGTCAAATGCTTCTCTCGTTTGGGAATGCTTGTGCCTTTCTTGTAGGAGCGTCTCACCGTCACTGGGCACGTATACATGAACGAACTTTACCTTAGCAGCCGTCTCGAAGAAAATTAGCCAACTGTGGCAAGGCCGGGTCGAGCTGTATCAGTTATATAAAGATGTTTGGTGATGTCCGAACATAGGTGGGGACTGGAGAGTCCCTTCCCTTCGATAGCCTCAGGGTTGCTTGGTTGTGAAGCTCATGCAATATTAGAACTTACTTTCCCTTTTTACAAACAATGATTTTATTTGCTGCGCAAAATGATGTCGACAGACTCAATTAACAGTAGAAAATTCTTGACGTTGGCGCAAAGCCAAAGCAAACGGTGCGACCTTTGCGGTTTGTTATGTTTTGGAGTGTCAAATGCCTTGAGGGGTACAGCCGTACTGGGTCCCGTTGCACAAGACAATAACTTATTCGAATAATTAGGCTTTTCCGCGTCGATAAAATCTAATAATATTGTGCTTTTTGTACGTAGGCTCCTCCCCCTCCGCGGTGGGGTACGGTGGGCCCGATGCCGCTGTATGAGCCGCTACTGGCGGATGGCAGTCACGTGAGCTACCGTAACACTGTCGCCGTCCGCAGCGTTGGCGGTGGCGCTGGCGACACCTGGTGGCTGGGCTACATTCAGG